TCCTGGAGCTGGTTTAAAGGTAATTAGAGTCTTGTCTCTTTAATTTAAAACTCCCTAGCGGTTTCTCAGGACTGGAACCTTCTTTAATGAAGCCACGCTGGTCGCTTGGCAGAGCACTCAAATGCTGTCCATGTTTTGTTAGACTTATACTTACGCATTTCATACTTTGAGGGGACATATTATAAATGATATGGTTTTAAAGTTCAGTTTCCAATTGTTCATTTTGAAATGGAAATTTTTGCTGCTGTTGTSTTTATGTCCTGTGACCATTCCTAAACTCATGAATTGATTTTATGAACTTTCTGGGTCAAGTTCTGAGGTCTTTCTATTATAGACAGTAGTCATCTGTGATAGCTTTACTTCTTCCTCTCCAATCTAGATGCTTTTACTTCTTTCTTTTTCTTGTCTCACTGCTCTAGCAACCAGAAGGACGTTGGATGGGAGGGGAGAGTGGACAACCACCCTTGTTCCTGGTCTTGGGGGGAGTAGTCAGACTTCTACTATGAAGTGCGACATACTTGAGTTTTTTGCAGGTGTCCTGTTTAAGGGTAAGAGAGTTGTCTCCTATTCCTAGTTAGCTGAATTTTTTAAAATCATGAATGGATTGTGAATTTTATCAAATGGTTTTTCTGCATTAATTAATAAGAAGGTATGGATTTTCCTCTTTAGGTGATAGATTATGTTGATTGATTTTTAAAACTTGTTCTTTTTAGATATATGACAGTAGAGTGTATTTCAACATAGTATATATGTACACAGAGTATAACTCATTCAAATTAGTACCCCATTCTATTTTGGGGGGGGCTATTGGGGGTTGAACTCAGGGACACTCAACTGAGTCACATCCTCAGCCTTATTTTGTATTTTATTTAGAGACAGGGTCTCACTGAGTTGCTTAGTGCCTTGCTGAGTTGCTGAGGCTGGATTTGAACTCACGATCCTCCTGCCTCAGCCTCTGGAGTCCCTGGGATTACAGGCGTGTGTCCTTGTGCCTGGCTAGGATCCCATTCTTGTGGTTGTACATGATATGGAGTTTCACTGGTGGTGTGGTCATTTGTGAACATAGGAAATTATGTCTGATTCATTCTACTGTCTTTCCTATTTTCATTCCCCCTCACTTCCCTTCATTCCCCTTTGTCTAATTCACTGAACTTCTATTCTTCCTTCCCCTCTTATTGTGTTTTAGCACCCTCAAATCAGAGAGAACATTGGCCATTAATTTTGGGGGATTGGCTTATTTTGCTTAGCACGATAGTCTCCAGATCCATCCATTTACTGCCAAAATTCATAAAGCCATTCTTTTTTATGGCTGAGTAAGATTCCATTGTGTATATATACCACATTTTCTTTATCCATTCATCTGCCAAAGGACACTAGGTTGGTTCCATAGCTTAGCTATTGTGAGTTGAACTGCTATAAACATTGAGGTGGTTGCCGTGTTGATTGATTTTTAAAACTGAATATTGAACTAGTCTTACATTCTTGGAAGAAATCCCATCCTCTCTCTTTCTATCCTGTCGCAGCTGGGTACACATTACTTCCATCAGAAGCTGCCAGAACTCAAAGTTTTAGAGAAAAACTCATACCAGTCCCCAAGAAAGCAGGATTATAATTTTTTTCTATCAAATTGAGTGGATGTAGTGTATTCTTGGTTATCAAAGATACTCATGTAGCTTTGGGATTTGAATTGGTGAATATTCATGACGTGGGCAAAAGCACGATACACACTACAATCCCAATCACACCAAATGTGATGCTGTGTGTCAGGCTTTTCCACGTGCATGGCCTGGAGGGACTATCCAACCAAGCTGCTGGTGCCTGGATAGCTTTGCTCTTTGCTTGTGTTTTTCTAGTTCCTRTAATGTACATGGTAACTTTTATTTTAAAAATTAAAGTTATTTAAAAAAAAAAAGAAGAGAAGAAAGAAAGAAAGACTCATACCTGATTCCATTTTCTCCTTTTTCTGGCTTCTTGTTAAGCCCATCCTTTACCTGAGAGAGAGAAAAAAAATAGAAAAACACTTCCCATATCTCAACCTTCAGAATCAGTTCACGTGAACATTTCAGCCCCGAGGAGAAGGACACGGCCCTCATCCCGGGAGTTAAGGCATCCTGAGCACCGGGGGGCCTCCCTTCAGCCCTGCTCTTCTTCTAGGCTGACCTGTACCTTTAGGAGTCCTGATCCTCGCCTGCCCATGGTACCAAAGAACACGACTCCCAAGGATTTAGGACAAGCCACTCAACAGCTCCCTCACTAAGCCAGTGACCAAGGGAATCGGCTGCAGGTCGCAGTTTCAATGAGGCTCACTTACACCCCTGGACAGAGGGCCCGAGTCTCCCTCTTGAGTTTAGCGCATCCCTCCTTTATGTGCTCAATGGTATCATGTGTGTGTCTCCATGTTCTTATCAGATATTTTGTATGGATTTTATTGCTTGTATCTGAAATACTCTGTTTTTCTAGAGAATGCTCTAATTTGATGCAATTTTTTTAAAAAAAATGAAATTAAAGATATATTTAAAACTTTGTCTCAAAAAGACCCTGAGAACACCCCTATGTACTATGTGTGACACACACAAATGTGCATACACAGCGCACACACATGTGCACACACATGTGCACACACACACATCATACCATGCCCAGTTCTTTTTTAGAAAATTAATTAATATTAGCCCTTCCTACCCACCAAACTGTTACAGGAAGTCAACTGACTTGTGTTCTTGAAAAGGGTAGAATCTGAGGATTATCTGAGTTCAAACGAAGTCACACCAATAGCAAGCTGTGTGGCCAGTATCACAGTCGCTAACAGCATCAGTGTCAAGGACTCACCACTTGGTACTGACTAGGTGACCGCACTAGAAGGGTGTAGCGATGGCCCTTCTCAAAGTCCTGAGTTACTGTTGAGACTGGTGACCCGGTGGAAGAAATGTTGATGCTTGTYAGCTTGTTTACATCAAAAGGCATATATTCCTTGGTCTGAGGGTAGAGAGAGGAGTCAGAGTCAATACCAGGGTCCTGTTATGCAACGTGCATTTGACTTTTGCGATAGTATGTTATTTGACATACAAGTTTCCAAGTTCATGTTCACACATATCGAAAATGCCTTGTGGAGAACTGAAGTTTATTCCTCTTAGCCTCCCAATAACTTCATGAACTGTCATGAAGTTTTTTAGTATTCCACAAGATTCTACTTTTCATCAAGCATTTTACTTATTTTTTTAATATTTATTTTAGTTGTAGTTGGACACAATACCTTTATTTTATTTATTTTTATGTGGTGCTGAGAATTGAACCCAGGGCCTTGCATGTGCCAGGTGAGCGCTCTACTGCTGAGCCACAACCCCAGCCTCTTACTTACTGTATTATAAAAATAAGAGCTGTGGAAATGATTTCTACCATTGCGCAAACAATGGCATCAGGGGAGAAGCAAGAGCCCTGGTGGGACTCAATCCTGGCTATCCCAAGCATCTGGACTCAGACTCTTAACCTTCAAGGTTACTAGTTTGGCAGGGGCTAAGGTAATGGATCCAACCATGACTGATGAGGAATTAGAGCAGCTCATGTAATCTTGGGGTTAGGACCCAGGTATCAAAATTTTCAAAGCTCTCCATGTGATTGCAGTCTGGATTTAAGATTGAAAACCAGAACAATGCTGTCAAGAGCAGGGTTTTCTGACCTTGGCACTGCCGACCTTTGAGTGAGATAATTCTTTGTCATGGAGGACCATCTGTCAACATCACTGACTCCTACATATGAGATGCCAAGAGCATGTTCCTAGTCACAATGACCAAAAGTATCCGTAGAGGTTGCCAAATGTTCCCTAGGGGAAAGTCACCCCTTTAGAATGTGGACCTTCCCTGCTTTTTTGTAGCAACAGAAGCAGGACCCAAGAGCTTGTGGGCACCCAGCATTGCAGATGTGCTGACTTAGAAGTGCGTTCTCAAGAGCTCCCGGGCATCTGCACTTCCACAAAGCTGGAGGCCTGCTGGTCTAGGGTACACGACATCAAGAGATTTGGACATTTCCCTCCTGGGCTGGTCTCGGGTAGTACTCAAGGACCAAGAGAAACACCTTCTCCAAATCCTATTATAACTCAGGCCAGAAGACGAAAAAAGAAAGTGACATTTGCCTCCACTTACTTGAGACATTTGGCCAAGTGTCACCATCTCTCCAGGAAAAGATATATTCATGTTATCATTTCCTATATTCAAGACTTTAATTTGGACTTCGTTTCCTTGGGGGAAGACTGGAAGAGTTTTCTGAGGGGGGGGAAAAAAGCGATAGAGAGTGAGGTCTTTCTTCAGGGATCACTGAAGATCATCCACATCCCCCTTCTGGGTCACTGAGGATCATCGACATCCCTTCAGCCCTTGAAAGCTGCACTGGCAGATACATGCCCCCACCCCACTACCCAAACTGATCATTCACTGGCCTCCTGGCAACCAGAGAAAAGGAGAATTTGGAAGTAACTGGCCTCATTTAGCCACCTCTAGGTCAGCAGATGCCAAGTTATGAAGCCTACTATTGGAGGGGGTCAGAGTAACTGCAGCCTTAAGGAACATGTCTCCATCAGGGCACCTGGGGTCTGCTCTCTCTGACTCCCGTGTCCTCTCTTACAGCTCTGGAAGCTCCATCCATGGCCTGGACATGGTTGGTACTTTGGCTGTCTTCTCACAAATGCTTTCTGTCCTTGTGCCTCCACGCCTGTGCTCATGATTTCTGGTCTTTTTTCTGCTCTGCTGTCTGTTAAATGCAGCGCCACTGGGGCGATGCATGTCCACATCAGGCCTCGCTTCATCTTCCACCAAGCTAGCTATGGGCACGAGAGCAGGAGTACACGCATGCTCACAGCAGCATCGTTCACAAGAGCCAAGGGGTGGAGGCACCCAGGCGTCCATGGATAGATGAACAGATAAAGCAAATGTGCAGCACCCACACGGTGGACTATCATTTAGCTTTAAAAGGAAGGAAATCCTGTTACAACCTGGATAAACCTGGAGGACATTATGCTAAGTAAAATAAGCCCATCCACAAAGGACAAAYGCTCCGAGATCCCACTTAGAGGAGGTGCCTGGAGACAGGAAGTGGGACGTGGTTGCCAGGAGAGCTGCTGTTAATGAGTACAGAGGTTCATCTGGGAAGATGAAGTTCTGGAAGCAAATGGCAGGGATGGTGCTAATAGTGTGGATGTACTTAATGCCCCTTAAAAATGGATCAGATGATGTATTTCATGTTATGTATATTTACCACAATTAAATTAAAAAAAAAAAGAAATTTAAAGAGAAAGGTGGGGAGAGAGAATCAAAGTAAAGACACAGAGATAGAGAGCGAAGCCCTCTCACCTCTTGTTCTGGCACCACATGCCCCCCACTTCTAGAACCAACGTCTGATCCCTTCTAACGAAGCCCACCCATCGACCCCCTTCCCAGCTGCACCCTTGCAGGGGTGAGTCCACAGTGTTTACGGACTGACAGCGACTGTTCTGCCCCTTGCCTCTCACCATCTGCAGCTCCAGGGCTTAGACCTCCACACAGGGGGAGATCCTGGTCTCCCCTAATCYTCTAGACCCAGAAGGAGAAGATCTGAGTGCGCTGCCTGAGCCCAGCAGCAAAGGACGCTGGAGACTCAAGGGAAACTCACATCGATTTCCACCTGCACAATCGCAGCCACCACAAAGGCCATGGAAGCCAGGAACATCCCAACTGTCATCTTCTTCAAGGAGCTGATTGGGACAAGAAGAAAGTGAGCCTCAGCCAGTTCCACACAGATGCACTAAGGAGAGGCCCCGGGGGGAACGCTCCTCCAACAAGAATGGCTTCCTTATAGAGGCCCATGCGCTGGAAAGTGTCTCTCCCCTTATTCCTACTGAGACTACAGAGGGCCCATGAAATGCAGCTCTTCATTCACATTTTTACATTTAATTTCTAGAAACTACAGTTCAGGTGGTACTCGGAATCACAGTGAACATTTTGTCATCTACATACAAAGGAGAACCTTAATTAGAGGCCTTTTCAGGCTGCCATCAATACAATTTTGTTTTAAAAGATATTTTCAGAAATATCAGCATACAAATATCTGATTTATTCATTTCCTTTAAAACCCCGCCACTGAGGTGGCTGGTTGGAGGGACATCCTCCTAATGCGCTAGGGGGCAAAGAGGGTGCAGCCCCTGGAAGGTGTCTCAACCATCCCAAACCAACCAGGCACCTACGTGAAATTGAAGCCACATTTTGCAATCAGAGGGTACACCACAGCATCTACGATGGGGACCATGATGACAATCAAGATGGCATTCACAGTCTGCAGAGGAAGCAAGGAAAGATGTTGACACAGGCTTGAGGGCCACCTGGATCTCTGAAAGCAACATGTTTTCTGCTTACCTGCATCTGATCCGGCTGAATTTCAATAATTCCCTAAAGAGAGGTGTGAAGGGTCACATTAAAAAATGTCATGAAAGGGAAGGATGAAGAGGACAAAGGGACTAAGGCAGAAGAGCAGCGAGCAGGGAAGGTGAACCACCACACCGGCCCAGACTTACGATTCTCCCGTTCATGGTGGTTGCTTGCAGTGTCCACCGGGAGCCCTAAACACAAACACAGTCACCGCATCAACCGGGAAGGTGGCTTTGCACATTTTACTAGTCATGGTGGATCTTTCCTAAATCAGGAATGAGGTCTGAAACGTTTAAAGTTGTTTGAAACATCAAGCCTGCCTCCAAGCTCCACTATAACGCTAGGTACAAGGAAGCAAGAGCACGTCTGTTAACAAGGGACCCCACACACAGAGCTCCAGCTCCTCGTGAGGACGCAGCAAGCCCCACCCTGAGGTGAAGCCACCTGCAGCAGATGCCAGCGTACAGCACTGGGCTGGAGAGCGCGGCCCACGGCAGGGAGAGCAGCTTTGTGCGCTGGGCCAGTCCCCACTCTCTGGCATCAGCATTAACAATGCTGGGATTGTTAAAAGCCAGTTTTGACAGTCTGGAAGTAGACCCACAGCAAGACAGTGGTGGGTATAAATTTGGGCAGCTGAGTTATAATCCACCTATTCTATGACTGTTTTAAGACTGAACATGCAAATGTTTCAATATGAATCTCAATTCCACCAGCAGGGAATCATGGAAAGCTGGGAAACTTGTCTGTTTGAGCTCTTAACACATCAGCCACGGAGTACTTTATAGACAGTCTCTAATTTGATCACACTGCCTCGAGGTGGGCTCTTGTGACCTGTTCAGAGGGCTACAAGTTTTTACTGAGACTCCCAGCTACTGAAGTCTGATTCCAGGAGGCTCCTATCCAGCTGTGAGGCTGCTTCTCTACCCTCTATGGGGAGGGGGTCTAAACCTCATATTTACAAATAAGGAGATTAATGTGCATGTTCAATTTTTTTTCCAAGGGATGATTTACCCTTACAGTGATGCTTGCTGTACAATGAAAACATATATTCGCAATTTTGTTTTTAAACTTCAGTTTCTAAAAGAAACAACATTTTATTGCTTTGGCCGCTGAGCCCCATGCACTGGGCTGACATTACTGTGCCAGGTTCCCGTGTATGTCCCACAGCTGTGGGACCAAGAGCAGAGCAACAAGCCACCCATCTGGTCTGGGTCCCTGCTCTGGGGGATGACTCTGGTGTGGTCATTTCACATCACTGGTGGAACTTCTAGTTCAAGTGTTCCATTTTAAAGTGGAAGATATCAGTCATCTCTCAGTTTAAATGTGCCATGGATCCTGTCAAAGGCCCTGCCTCTTTTTGCAAGCTGCATCAGTAGGAAAATAAGCTCTTTTTCCCCCCTCTCTTTCTTTCCCCATGGTACTGGGGATTAACCTAAGGATGCTCTACAACCGAACTGTATCTCTAGTCTTTTTTAAAAACTTTTTAAATTTTGAGACAGAGTCTCCATTGAGTTGCCCAGGCTGGCCTTGAACTTGTGACCCTCCTGCCTCAGCTTCCTGAGTTGCTGGGATCACCGGTGTGCACCAACACAATTAGCAGGAAAGCAAACTTTCTTAACCCTCAGTTTTGATTGGCCAGAGTGCTGGCTGCTCTGATGAAATCTTCCCCAAGGCTACTTTACTTGACTACACCTCATTTTCTTCATTGTTTTGCAAGAGAAATGTGGACAGAAGCTTCCAGAATTTTTTTAAACAAATAAACTCAATGTGATCTAACAACTAAATAAAATGATACAAAAAAGAAATTGGAAGAGAACGTTTTTAGGAACCAAATACTAAGTATGACTCAGTACATGGTAGTGCCCAAAGTATGTTTGCTAAACAAAGATAATTGGAAGCATTACCTGCTGATCAAACAGGGCCCAGAACATCGGGAGCGGAATATACAGGAACATCACCCTCGTAACCATCTTAATTTGAGAGATAAGCCGCTCCTGTAGGGAGGGACAGATCAGTGTCACTCAGAGTGTTCAGGCACAGCTTGGTTTCAGTGTTGAGATATTTGCATCTAGAGATGAGTGGGGAGGTGATTATTGTTCCAAAAAACACTAACACAAGTTTCGGGAAATTTCTAAGCTATTGAAAATATGAGAAAATATCTGTTTAGGAGGAAAACTCCAACTTGCTACATGTAAATCCACTCAATGTAAATCCCACCACTGCCATCACCACCMCTTAACTTCTATATTCAGAGGTAGGGTACAGGATCACAATCACCTATAACTACTGGCAGACTACATCAAACGGAAAGCCAATACTGCTTCAGACAAATTATATCCATCGTTTACCAAATTGTTAATTTTTACAAAGTAGCGCTCATGCCTACTCTTACTTGATGCGCTAACAAGGTCAGGAGGCTTCATGCTCTGAACTGTGCTTCTCRACACCCCCTCTCTGGAGGGGCTGTAGCAAGGTGGTTACTTACATCATATTTCTCCTTAGCCCAGTCCAGCCAGTGCTCTCTCTTGGGAAATTCCTTACTTCGGTGCYGAAACCTGTTTTTGATAGAAAACTAAAGGAAGAAAAAAATCAAATTTCAGAACAGAACCAACTACTTCATCAGAGGAATACAGATCAATTAATCTCCCCCCTTTAAGGGAAAAATATGTGAGAAAATCAAAATATAAAATTGTATATAGCAGCATAATGAGCACGTTGAAGACACAACTGATGCATTTGTTTCTAGACTTTTTTTTTTTTATTTTTTTTTGCCCTGGAGATTGAACCCAGGGGTGCTTTACCACTGAGCCACATCATCCACAGCCCTTTTTATTTTTTATTTTGAGACAGGGTCAAAGGTTGCTTAGGGCCTGCTGGAATTATAGGCATGCCCATTGCCCTGGCTGTGTCTAGACTCTTTGTGATTAAGATGTTGAGTTGGGGTCAGCAGAAGGACTGTCAGGGCTTCTCTCCAGATCCTCTATAGAGGCCTGTTCAGTAGGAATACAATGCAAGACTCATTTGCAACTTAAGTTTCCTAGTAGCCAAAGCAACAAGTCAAAGTCAAACAGGCAAAATTTGTTTAAAATATATTTTATTTAACTCAATAATCCCCAAGTATGATTTTAATATACAATATATTAAAAATTAATGAGAATTTTAAATTCTTTTTTCATACTAAGTCTTCAAAATTAGGGGAGTATTTTCTACCTATGGCATATCTCAATTTGGTTGCTAAATCTTTTTTATCAGAAATATGTCACCTATATTTAGATTTCATTAATTTTATGTTTGAAAAATTAGATTTACATACTAGGTTGTTCCAAACATACTTAAAAGCTTCCTGATAACTGAATTGAGCCTTGTTTTCAAATTTGAGTAAGAACCCACTACACAGAAATACATATGTAAGAAAATAAAGTAGGGTTGGGATGTGGTTCAGCGGTACAGTGGTTGCCTCACAAGTGATATAGTGCAAAGTCCTGGGTTCAATTCCCTGTACTAGGAAGATAAAAAAGTTATTGTCAAACATGTCTCATATTTATAGAGGGTAACAGATCATAAAAACATGCTGACCCATCATGAAATGAGAAGCCACTGAGATTCCTCACCAGTGTTTCTCAAGAGAGCTCTTGAGGGAAAGCAAAGTGCATCTACAAGACACAGCAGGGAGGGGGGTGTGTCGCGGCCAGGGACAGGTGTGTGACCAAATGCAACAATCCAGACCTGTGGGCTGATTTTAGGACACAGGGCAGTACAGTTCTCACGACTCTAAGCAGTTCAAAGTTGTTCTTTGGAGGTTTAAACCAAGCTGACAGTTACTTTCCTCTTTGCCTGGAAAAACCTTTTTGGTGGGAATAGATCAAATGCTAAAGGAAATGGGAAAGCTGCCCCTGAGGCATTGTTTTGTGTTTTTTTTTTTTTTTTGGCAAGGAGGGGGCACACGGCAAAATAGACCACATAATCTAATGCAATAAGGCCAGGCAAAAAGGAAGAGCATGATTTCAAGTTATCTTAAGGCCACCTTTTCATTCAAAAGATAATCCACATATTTAAAAAATAATAAGTGACACATTTCCCCCCAGTTATACAAAATATATGTTCACTAAAAAAGGAGGGTTCTATTGTGTAGATTCCTTTTCCCAGGACTGGGGATGTGGCTCAAGTGGTAGCATGCTCGCCTAACATGCATGAGGCACTGGGTTCAATTCTCAGCACCACATAAAAATAAAGTAAAGATTGTGTCCACCTAAAACTAAAAAATAAACATTTAAAAAAAAGATTCCTATTCTTAACATTTATTTCCTGCATATGAATGTACCTGAATGTATATATCTCATGTAGATGCATATGGAAGAAACCAAATTCTGCATATTCCCATCATTAAATATTCTTTGAAAACAAGACTTGTGATGACTACATAAGATGTCAAAGATACACTGTCAGGTGAGCACCCTTTTCCTCTTTTCAGCAATTTGTTGTATATAATATTACAATGATATCCTTTGTATATGAATCTGCATCCATTTAAAATTTTATTTTCTTAGCCTTATTTCCTGAAAGTAGCATCACAGACCCTTAGCACCTGAGCACTCTTGATACACATTGCAAAACTGAGCCCCAACTTTGTTTTACTGCTCCCGAAAAAACAGAAGGTATTGTCTGCCAATTTGATGAAGAGTCATTTTATTGGTTTTTCTTTGACAACTTTATTTTAAAAGCCATTTCCATTCCTCCCTTTTTGAGTTCTGTTTGTGTGCTTTTCCATTTGGTGAGTTTCATAAAAAGTTTATGATTTAAATTAAAACTTATCAAAATAGGGACACTTAAAATATGTTTAGAGAAAGTCAAAGTTTAATTGAATTTTAACGTAAAGGATGTAGAAGGTTTGGGGGTGATTAAAATGTCATGGAGAGGTACTGAAATACTCACACCAATGCATTTGACCACTTTACCCATGATGTTGCCCTGTGGCTGGAACTTCTTGTACATTCTACTGCCGATGACAAATACAACTGGACAGGGGAAAAAAATAAGAACAAACACCAAGGCTTAGTACCATCTATCAACCTCACAGAACCTGGGGCAGACTGTAGACATCCAGTATAGCTACCTGAGCCAGGCCCTGGCTGTTTAAAGGGAGAAAATATGTGCAAGGTGAATGCATTGCTCTCAAAGACAATGAACAGAGCTCTAATTTTCTGGCCATAATGGCAAGTGAGATTTTCTTCTTCTCATTATTTTTCTTTTTAATGTTAAGGAAAATAGAAATTAATGTGTTGAAACTTTTACTTAATCATATGTGGCAGTTTTCCCCCTGTATTCACTGTACAGAAACACAGTTATAATTAGGATCTGCAGTAAGTTTTACAAAAGTTGGAAACAGCCATTTTTCATGGATTTTCTTAACCAAGGCATAGTATGAAAATAATGTAGAAAAGAGCATCTCTACAAGAGATTCTGAAAACACAGTCCATGTGCTAGAATTTTTGATTATCTAATACATAATTCAATAATTAAAAACACCAATGGATTCTTTCTATTCTTGCCCAATGCCAACCTTCCTCAACACATGGATGGTGAAGATGTCCAATAGATTGTGTCTACATTTTCTTTTGCAAAGGAATATTTCAATTTCTTAATAAACTGAAGCCTAACTCAAGCACAGAAATTCTAGAGATTGTGCTCATATATAGTATTTGGTTGGTTCACAATTTTTCAATTAAAAAACAAGTATATTGGGGCTGGGGATGTGGCTCAAGCAGTGATGTGCTTGCCTGGCATGCGCGGGGCACTGGGTTCTATCCTCAGCACCACATAAAAATAAAATAAAGATGTTGTGTCCACCGAAAACTGAAAAATAATATTTAAAAAAATTCTCTCTCTCTCTCTTAAAAAAAAAAAACAACAAGGATAAACTTTACCTAAGAATGACCTATACAGACTCAATGAGAATTTACTCAAAGTGCTCAATACAACATCTGGTATAGTAGGATCTTTAAAATGCTCTCTCCTGCCCAGAATTAGAGAGGAGGAGCACAGACAAGCATTTTAGGGGAAGGTGGCAGTATTTGAAGATCATGGAAGAAAGAGCCATACTGAAGAGGGGGGAATTCTGAACTCACATAATTTTAATGACAAAGCAAAATTGCTACAGCACGAGCACAGGAGGTTAAAAAAAATTAACCTACTCAATTCTAGTAAGATCTGAAACAGAAATGGAAGAAAGCAACGCCAATGCCGGCAGCTCCCTTGCTAGAAAGGAGAAGGTGCCAGGAAGACCCAAGACAGCATCTGACTGTCCTGGCATCTTCCTAGCTAGATTGCCCCTTGTAGGAAACCTTCACGCTTCCTAAAACGCCAATGCCAAGAGCCGATCTAACTGTATCTAACATGTACACACCTTCCTTCCTGAGGGAAGGAATTCCAGGAGAAGCATTTTGGGAGGGTGGATTATGGAATGGAAGTATTTCAGTGGCCATTGAACCAGGTTGCCATTTCTTCAAGGGCAGGGGATGTGCACACGTAGACAGGAAGAAAAGCTTCCAGCCACAGGAACTGCCCATCTAGCAGATTCTACCACCTTCACCTTCCTCTTCCTAATTGGTATCAAACCTTTCATGTCCAACTCAGATGGTTCATTTCCCTGCAAACCCTTTTTTGATCCCATCCACTCTGAAACGAGAGGCCAACTCTACTTCCTTCTCTCTGAGAGAGCACATGGAACACTGAATGGCAATGCTTCACACTGTTTTTTTTACAACTCATTACATGGACTTCAAAAATATTAGTCTCAATAATGAATACGGGGCCTGATCTGGTTGTAGGCTGGTGTGTTAACTCAAGTAATTTCCACTTACTTAGGGAGACGGCCATGAGAGCAGCAGGAACCCCAAATGCCAGTGGGTAACATGCTTGCTGACTGTGAATTCCACATTGTTGAACTGGGGAGAAAGTAGGAGATTAAAATTGATCATGGCATTGGTAATGCATGGATAGTTCCCATTTCTAAAAACCCCTCACTATTGTTACATAGTATTTTTTTTTTGAGAGAGAGAGAGAATTTTTTAATATTAATTTTTTAGTTTTCAGTGGACACACATCTTTATTTTATTTGTATATGGTGCTGAGGATCGAACCCAGCACCCCGAGCATGCCAGGTGAGCGCGCTATGGCTTGAGCCACCTCCCCAGCCTGCCCTGTTACATAGTATTTTCACTTAAGGTWCAAGACATCCATTTGCCTTACTGATGTCATTGCCAGCTGCATTGTAGAAAGAGCAGGAGATGGAGGCAGATTCTAAGCTTAGCCCCTAAATAGATGTGTGTTTGCTGTATGGGTTTTCTAAGTGGGGGAGATAAATATGATCTGGGTACAATGACTCCAACATAAGGGACACAGTCAATAAAAGCTATGTGCTCTGGAAAGTGAATATCGTATGCCCCTATATGTATGCCAAATAAGTAACAATCAGGTGATCTCAGGCAGGGGTTGACACTACTTTCTGTGATATCTTAAGCTAGGTATCTTAGGCTTTGGGGACCATTTGATCTTGGTCACAACTCTTCAGCTCCAGTTTTTTTTTTTTTTTTTAATTTGGTACTGGGATTGAACCCGGGGACACTTAACTACCGAGCTACATCCCTATCCTTTCTTTTTGTTTTTATTTATTTTGTATTTTACTTAGAGATAGGGTCTCACTGAGTTGCTTAGGGTTTCACTGAACTGCTGAGTGCTGGCTTTGAACTTGTGATCCTCCTGCCTCTGCCTCCTGAGCCGCTGAGATTACAGTTGTGCGCCACTGTAGCAGGCTTCAGCTCTGCCTTTGCAGGAGGAAAGTAGTCAGAGCCAAACCTAAATGATGGTCTTGCCCAGATTTCTGGATCTGGCCCCAGGGCCATTGTGTTTGCCAGCCTCTGACTGAGGGTTATTTTAGCTCTGAAATCTTAGGATTGGTAAGGAAAACTATCAAGGCTTTGTAAGAAGCAAGAGAGATTACTAGAAATCCTTCCGTGGGAGGCTGTGGCCTCCACAGTGATCCAATCTTGTAGGGATTTTGACTCTGCCTAGCTATTTCACAATTCTTTTTTTTAAAAAATTGTTTTTAGTTGTTGATAGACCTTTATTTATTTTATTTATTTATTTATACGCGGTGCTGAGAATCGAACCCAGTGCCTCACACATGCCAGGCTAGTGTGCCACTGCTGAGCCCCAGCCCTAGCCCCAGCCCTAGCCCCAGCCCTAGTCCCACTATTTCACAATTTTGTAAAGAAAAAAAGTTAACCAGTAGAAAAGTTCTGGTTATGCCAATAATTCCTGTTTGTGGCAATGCAAAATAATTTCTCCCTATAAAGAATCAAAATCTGTTAGTCAAATCCTTATTTGAACAGATTGTAAGAAGTTCCCATTCCCTGATGAATTAATAAGTAATACAAAATCTCTGTCACATGCTCATTTTATATTTGTATGAGAATCATCACTTTATTTCAGAAAATCATCCTTTAACATATTCCATTATTCAAACATGCATGGCACCTACTCCAGAAGAACCCGGAAGTGGGAGATGTATGGGGACAGAGCTCAAAAATGAAAGCTATTAATTCTTTTTTAAGTTGTAGATGGACACAATACCGATATTGTTTTATTTTTATATGGTGCTGAGGATCAAACCCAGCGCCTCACACACGCAAGTCTACAACCCCAGCCCGAAGGCTGTTAAATCTTATACAAAACAAACTGGGGATGGGGCTTAAGTGCCTGTCATCTTCAAACTACTACTCTAGGCAGAAATACATGAATTCCTATAAAATATTTTATTTCATAACTTAATCTTATCCAAGTATGGACACCATGGTTTTGTTAATTTGCCCTAAATAACACTAAATACTCCTTTCCATGGGAGAAATTGGTGAACTTTCAATTGCCCATGAGCAAGCACAGAGATCTGAGTGGGGCTGGTGGTTATTGACACTGTCTTGTTCTTTCTCTGGGTAGTTCCTTTTGTTTTTTTTTTTTTTTTTTTTGGAAATACTCAAGATGTCAGGAAAGTAAAAGGCAAAGCTACATTCTTCCTGACTTACTGGGGAGCAAAGCCTGAAGGCTGTAATGCCGATCAGAGCCCACAGCAAACACCTTCTATATAAATATATATTTATTTGTTTATTTTAGTTGTAGATGGACACAATATCTTTATTTTTATTTATCCATTTTTATGTGGTGCTGAGGATCAAACCCAGGGCCTCACATGTGCGAGGCAAGCGCTCTACCAYTGAGCCCCAGCCCCAGCCCGGCAAACACCTTCTTGATTAACCTCTCACCACGAATAAGGACGCCACATGAAGAGAACATTGAAAAGACTGATGCCTATGCTGGGGGTTTTAGTCTCTCCAGCGGTCACTGGAATACAGGAGGCAAATAAGATTAGGAAAAGAGAGAAACCTGAGAGAAAAGAAGCTCAGACTCTGGATTTTGATGTCCATCCCAGAATGAATTGCACTAGACTTTAAGGAGAGAAGAGACAACAGAACACCAAGAAAAGGCTCCCCTTTCTACCCGCCTTTCCCCCCGACAATCAGTGAAGGGAAGACGGGCCCCGTTCAGGTATTCTTACCCCTGAGTATGGGAGTGATGATGGTAGACAGCAGACTTCCAGCATTAATGGCCAAATAAAAGATGGAGAAAAATCTGTTTCTTTGCTTTTCCTGTCATAGAAAAGAGAGGTGAAACATGATGACCTGGGCTTGGGATCATCTGAGCAGATGGAGCTGTTATCTGACTTGACTTCTGACAGCTTTGGTCAGTGTCTTACTTTCAAGCATATTTGAAAATGATGGAGTGGAGAACAGACTGAGTGCCCGTGGGTTTGATCCCTGGAGGGTTATAACTCATTGACRTGCTTTCTGCGGAGATATGTGTTCTTACCTGGCCCTCTTCAAATTGATCACCGCCAAATGCAGACACACAGGGCTTGATTCCTCCTGTACCAAGAGCTATCAGGGCCAGGCCGATCATGGACAGCGCCCTGGAGAGAGGAGGGTTAGGGCTAAGGTGGCAGGACTTTAGAAGAGGGAGCCTGTCCCCTGATTCATATTTTATCTAATAACTTATCATCCAGAAAACTGAAAGCAATAGATTGATATTTGAGCAAAGACTTATGTGTGGAGTCTTGTAGCCTTATCTCTTCTAGCAAAAGAATGGGTAAATGAAAATTGCTAATACAGGGACTGGGAGGATGCTCAGGGGTAGAGTGCATGCTTAGCATCACAAGGCCCTGGGCTCAGTTTTCAGTGCATGTGCACACACAGAATGTTAACTGGACAAGTGTAAGCCCTGCATCTTATGCAATAAAAATGGACTCATAGTAGTCACTAAATGATGTTAGAAAACAGGATTTCATTACAAAGCAGAATATCAGTTTATAGAATGATCTTAATTTGCTTACAAAGTACAGAAGACTGAAAAGAAATTGAGCAAAAGATTGACTATGCCAAGATCCCTGCCTATCTCAAGACTAGCAAATATGCTATGTTCAGCTCCAGGGTCTGAACAGCAAGATGGTGCAGAAGACCCTATCTCAAAATAAAAATGAAAAGAGGCTGGGAGCCCAGTGCAGTGGCCCACACCTATAATCCCAGTGGCTGGGGAGGCTGAGGCAGGGGGATCATGAGTTCAAAGCCAGCCTCAGCAAAAATGAGGCACTAAGTAATTCAGTGAGACCCTGTCTCGCAATACAAAATAGGGTTGGGGGTGTGACTCAGTGGTCGAGTGCCTCTGAGTTCAATCCCTGGTACCCAAAAAAAAAGAAAGAAAGAAGGAAAAAAAGTCTGGACTGTAGCTCAGTGGTAGAGGGTTTGCCTAGCACAACACCACCTTGGGTTTAATCCCTCGCACTGCAAAAAACAGAAGTTTATTTTTATGTCCAAGTGGTAGAATTACAGATTATTTTATCTTAATTTACTTTTGTATTTTTCAGGTTATCTTAAGCATGTTGTTTCCCAAATTTAAAAAAAATATCATGATATTTATCAGTTTCTTTGTAGTTTTATTAAATTTGCATTTGGGTATCACAAAAMTCACATGACAAACATCAATCCTATATCTTCTTGTTGCTAATGTGGCTTAAAAACACTTTTTAAAAAGTCATGAAACAGATATGGCATGGTGGTGCACACCTATGATCCCAGCCACTTGGGAGGCTGAGGCAGGACGATTGCAAGTTCAAGGCCCACTTCAGCAATTTTTTTGAGGTCCTAAGCAATTACTGAGACCCTGTTTCAAAATAAAAAATAAAAAGGGCTGGGAATGTGGCTCAGTGGTGAGATATCCCTAGGTTAAACCCCTAGGACAAAAAAGAAAAAGAAAAAAGAAAGAAATAGATAAAGTGAAGGCAGATATTACACAGAGAAAGAATCCTTTAAAAGTCATGCATCCCTAATTATTCTTCCTGAGTTCACTAACCCAAGTTCCTCTTTGAATCTGTTTGCCTCTTAATATAACTTATGTTTGAAGTGGTCATTCAAAGCATTTTAAAGATAACAAAACCCTGGTCTGTTGAATATTAGATCCTATTTTTACTCTTGTGAGAACTTCAGGGGTGTTCTAACACTAACTGCAGGAAATAAAAAACACACAGCTAAGATCTCTTGAGCACCTGTCATCTCTAGGCAGTTCTGGGAGCTCTTCCTGGATTAAACCATGCGGCTCTAGCTGAGGTCAGTACTGATACCAGTGAGGAAACTGAGGCCTAGAGGACCAGACACCTACTGAACGCCACACAACTAGTAGGGCACCACCAGATCTGAACCCAGCCTGTCTCCAGTCTATGTTCTTAAAATGACAGTTTACTCAAGGTCATGCCCCTGCTCTGTGGGAGAGCTGGGCTCAGACCCCCGAAGTCTGAGCTGCCTACTGCGCTCATCGCCACTCTCCTCACCAACAACACTGTTCCTCCAGGCACAAGGGGAGGCTCCAGGGCCACTATCTGGTCTGGACAGCAACGATCAACTAAAGTCAGAGATGTGGGCACTGTGGATATGAACTTGAGTTTCAATTATATTTACCCAGCCCTGGAGATGGTTTACTCCTAGATCAAGGAGCTGAAGCGCAGGGCAGGAGACAATCTTCATAATTAGTCTCCAAGGCCAGGCAACAGAGAGGGGAATGAACCCCGGAGAGGAGCAATGTCCACACCACTTGCCTCAAGAGTCCAGAACAGAGAGCTGGGATAAATATTTATAAAACGGAATTACTAAAAAATAAGCAGATATGTGGTACAGGAGAGGTACCAGAGTCTCGAGGAGACCTGTGGTGTCAAGGACCAAGGCCTGTGAGAGCCACGTCCCTCTAGGGAAACCCAGGGCAAACACAGGTACCCTGCCCACTGACCACACATCAAGTGGGTTGTCAGGACCCAAGAGAGCCAAGTCAAAACAAGCAACTGTTAGGATGGAGGCATACTGCAAACCCAGTTCTCCATCCAAAACACAGCTTTTCTACACCACCAGAGGGGAGAGCAGCCTCCCTGCTCTCGAGGGGACTTTGAGGAACAAGATGCAGCATCAGGACACTGAYGAGCAGCCAGTGGGAGGGCAGGGAGGCAGCAGCGACCATCGACTCACACATGCACAGGGAGGGTGTCGACGGTCCCGTCGTGGTTGTAGTCTGTGAGGTCATTAATTGAGCTGACTGCGATGATTCCTTGTCCAATTGTGTAGACAATGGATAATGATATAATTGTCCTGTGTTTAGAAGGGTTAAGAGAAGCCTGGTTAATTGTATGACGGCTGTCCATTTCCCAGCCTCCTTCCTTCAAAGTTTATAACAGCCCAGTCATGGACTCCTGTTTCTCAACTTGGGTAAAACTAGTCACCTCTCAGAAAGGTGTAGAGCAAAGTTTTGGCTAGAGGACCAAGAGAAGGGGAAAGTCGCGTTGGCACACTCTCCGAACTCTTTCTGCAGGGCTGGGTAGGAGCTTGCCAAGGCTCCCTTATGTCATGGGTCAACTCAGCAGCCAGGGTGTGACCCAGGCAGGGTGATGTCTTCCCAGCCCTGAGCTCTGTGTCTCAGATCACTGATGACATACAGGATCCCTGCCTATCACAAGACGAGCAAAGACGCTGTGTTCAGCTCCAGGGATATGGCGTCGAGCAGAATCAAGATTGCGAATGCTTTCCCCAAAGTCTGGATTCCTCGATTCTTCATTCCCCGATTCCACCATCCCAAACCACATGACTTACATTTTGGCTTGTTAACAAGAAAGTTCCAATCACTTACTTGAACTTCCCCAGCCATGAGTCGGCGATAAGAGCTCCGAGAATCGGCGTCAGGTAGCACAGGGCGACAAATGTGTGGTAGATGGCCGTGGACAGGTTGTCATCCCAGCCAATGAAATTTGTGAAGTACAGAATCAGGATTGCTTTTTGCAGAGGACAGGAAGAAGAGGAGGGAGAAACAGAGTCAGGACTGGCTACCACCACTCACGTCCTTCACCAAAGGGCAAGAAATGGCTAAGAGTTACCTCTCATTCCATAGTAGGAGAATCTTTCACAGAACTCATTGACCACGATGAAGAAGATGCTCAAGGGGTAACCAAAGCAACTCTGACAAAAAGAAACACAGTGGAGGATCCAGGTGTGCTCTCCCAGGCACAAACTAGTGCCAGTGGCGAGGAAAGTGGCCAGTGCATATTCAGTAAATTATCAGCGACTGTCCAGAGGCAGAAACTTGAATTTTATCATTTTCATTCCCTTAGATTAGTTGTTCCAGATAGAAATAGCAATGAGCTAAAGCAGCAAGGTTTACTGTTAGCCAAGCGGGAGGTACACAGCACTCCCAAGGAGGCCAGCTCTGCTTGATGCCGGATACGCGATACATACATGTTTAGGGAATGAAGCAAAGTAATGAAAAACTAGGAGTAAAATAGACTGTAAAATTAACAAAGTGAAGGCAAATGGAGAAGGAAAAAGCACACTCACCCATGGCTTGGACATTCCTAAAAGAAAAATGAAAGGCTGATATTAAATTTAAGTCAATACAATACTTTTTTCTGCAGCTTAACCCAGAGCCCTTGGCTTCTCGGGGCAGCCAGAAGAATGGTTCCCAACACAGCTGCAGCCCTCTCAGCCAACCCAGCCCCAGCCCCAGCCCTCATCTGGAGTCAGGCTGGGCCTCTGTCTGGTCTTTTAACCAGAGCCTCAGGCAATTCTCGTGTGTGGTTGGAAGAGAGACCAGAGCTCAAAGAATCCTGCCCAAACCATTTCCTCCCGAAAACACTTCAAAGAGCAACAGGGCAAAACGGAACCATTTTACTATGTTCCTTGGTATCTTACAAGGTCACCAGATACCTGTGAGGACAGTGTAGTGGAGGTGGAAAATGTTTTCAAGGGCCACCGTGAAGGTTCAGCCATTGCTCCCTGTCCCCAGCCCTGCCTTCCTTCCAGTGCCCTCGCCATGAGCGGACACTCCAATGACACTCCACTGAACCCATGCAGTGTACACTCAGCAAAGTCCTTGCCCTTCCTGCCCATGCTTGGGTCTAGCCTCTGAGGTCGTACATCACAGTGTGAAAATGGGCAGGTCACACTCTTGCCTCCATGTGGATTGAGTCCCTCACACCAGCGTTGCCACATCCCAGCCTTTTTCACAATACCTCCCACTAGTAGGGGCTGCTGTCAGGGGAATGAATTCAAGGATCAGGAGGAAAAACTGGAGAATACAAGCGAGTCCAGGCAAACCCATAGACTCAACTGCCTAAACCTGAGGCAGGTCCCCACGACCTCAGGAGAAGCACCAGAGCCCTGCTTCTCTCTCTCCCCCCCCCCCTGAGTTTTGACTAGTAGTGACCTGAACCCAGAGTAGTCCTGGCACCTCCRTGCCCTGCTCCCTATACACATGTCGCCCTATATTTATCACTGCTAGTCACTGCTACGCCCTTCCCTGGGGGACCAGCCCCTTTCCCCTCCCATTGGTCTCATCTTAGAGTTCTGGAGCTGCTTCCATTAGGGATCTGTGGGTCTTAAACARAAGTGGGTCTTAAACTTGGGTGAGCCTCAGAAACACCAGGTGACTTGTGAGAACCACTGCTGGGCTATGTCTTCACAGCTGCTAGCTCTGCAGGTCTGGGGTGGACATTTGAGTTTGCATTTCTAACTGTGAGCTCAGGCAGCACGCTGGGAAAACCACTGCACTGGAGAATTAAAAATAATCCTTAAATTCCTATAGTGCCCCACGAGTTGCACACTGCAACAGAGTTGCCCATTTGAAGAGCAGCTTCCTTGGAAACCAGTGCTGGCCACCGTGGCTTTTACCTGAGGAAACTGACTTTTCTCTSTACTTAAGGATTGGCATTTCTAATGAGTTCCAAGGAGAGGTGGGTGCTGCAGGTCCAGGGACCACACTTTGACTTTTTGTGTGTGTGTGTGTGGTGCTGGAGATTGAACCCATGGCTTTGTACATGTGAGGCAAGCACTCTACCAACTGAGCTATTTCCCCAGCCCTAGGGACCACACTTTGAGAAGCATGTGTAGGCTGTGTTGTCCTGTTGCTCCTGGATTTCCATAAGTCAATTTCATCACTTCTCCGGCTCTGAGCACCAGAGAGACCAGCTGCCCAGAGCAGAGAGCAAATATAAAAGAAGGACACAGCTCCCCACCTCAGTTTCTGCACTGTTCCCATTTGGGGCCCTTCCTTGAAGATTTGTGTTGTATTTTCATTATGTGTAACTCCAGAGCCCCATTCCACATAAACACAACCACAGCTTCTCTGGGCAGCTCCCTTCTTACCCACGTGGCTCCGCACAGCTTCCAGACTGGTACCCACCCACCTCCTGGGCAGGAGCATTGCTGCCTGCCCCCGTCACACTGTGCTGGAGTTATCTTTCTGTCTCCAGCTCAGCCTGGCCCCAGGGGCCTCACACCAGAGGGCCTTAGACTTTTGCCTACTTAGTATTGTAGATGCAATCTTACTCCTTACTCTAAGGAGGGAAATGCACTGTCCTGATCTCACAAAACCCTAATCCTCGACTTTTCCTGCTATTTAAGTTCTAGGTGGAGATTTCACATCACTACCAACCTGGTTTTCACCCTAGTTAGACTTCCTTGGGGGAAGGCGTCTTCCAGTGGCCACACATGAAGAATGAGGGCTGCGGACTCAGACCCGTGACTGACTCTCAGTTCTACTTGCCAGTTGTGGCCTTAGACCAGCCAGTCTTTCTTCTGAAGCCCAACAATCAAGGAGATCACACCGCCACCTTGTCGGGCTGCTTAAGAATTCAGAGCTTGGTGCATCAGAATTGGGAGATGCTACCATCTCAGAATCTTCCATAGAGTGGAAATTAAATGCTGTTGAATAGGCCTCCAAAGAATCCACTCTATCAGTTCCCAATCAAGGATCAGATTCTGGCTCTGCCACTCGCTGGTTCCACTCCCCGGTTCCACTCCCCCCATAGGTCTAGCAGCTTCCCTCGCCCCTTGAGGCTGACCTGCCTGGATCACAGCAGTGTCCCCATGGCCCACCATGGCTTCCATTAGGTTTAGCAACAGAGAACCCTGGGCAGATCAGAAGGAGGGAGGAAAAATCAGAGTATTCATTTTTTTCTGGCACGCTCCTTACCAAGTCCCCTCAGACTGGCTATGTCCTCAAGTGACAGTCACTGCTACTCTGAGGCTGTCCACTGCACCATGACTCTCTCTCTCTCTTTCCAAGTTTTCATGACTTCCTTTCCCATCCCCCAGGTCTTGGGWGGTAACAGGGAGACCCACTATCATTTGTGGACCCTCACCCCACATTGTCCAAATGGCCTTCTTTAAACAAACCGTCCTTTTGATTTTGCCACAMGATTCCCAAGGGGACCCTGGTGATGCGGTGTACCAGCTGCAGACTCTACCTGCTGCSGTCTTGCACTACGAGACAGGAAGGAGTCTCCCTTGCCAGGGAAATTGGAAGGACCCATTGTGCAAACAGTTTTTTTAAAAAGCTGAACCATGAACCAGGCTATTGGTATCACTCAGAGCCCTATTTTGGTGCATTGGTTTTGTGCTTTCTCAGGACACAGCCGTAGCCTTCAGCACCTGCCTACTTAGACTTCAGACACCCTGGCCTCACCATTGCCTCCAAGACAAACCAAGGGGCGAGGCCCACACAAAAGCCTGCTCTGTTCTCACACTGGGCCATCCATGGCAAAGCAGGAGGAGGGCTGAAACCCAGCCAGGAGACGGCCAAGCTTCATCGTAACATCCTCCTGTGCTCCTCAGAATTTTGGTTCACACAGAAAGACTTCATTTCTCTGGGGTGACCGTGCTTTCTTGCTAAATATCATGTATCACCTAATATCTGCTAAATAATATTTACTTCAAACATAAATTGGAGTACAGAAAAGAGACCAAATTGTTCAGGAAGCTTAGACTTTATGTGAACAATCATCACACCCAGAAACAAATCAGGAAAAAAATTCCTGAATTCACTCAAGCGTGAGCACTGGTCCTGGCCACCACTCAGGAAGTATTTTATGTTCTGAAAGGCAAGTATTCCGAGAACTACTTTTATTGTTCAGGGTGGAGGCTGCTGAGCTCATCTGTTATAGAATGCAGAGCTATCTGCTGGACCTCTGCTGCAGTCAGCGCTTCTTATCTACGAGACCTGGGACAACAAGGTTGCTATCTTGGAAAGGCCAAGTGCAGCACAGTGCACAAAATCCCAACTGTTTACCTGGGTGCGATTGTGCTTGTAGCTGGTATCCTGGCAGTAAATCAAGTGGTCCCATGTGTTTGGAATGGCTCTTAGATCACTCAGATTTCAGGACTGATTAGAGCCAAGCCTAGAATCCAGACGCCTTGTCTAGGGAGCTGAGCCGGCACCATGAACTCRGAACAAACGCTGGTCCTTACTGTTACTCTAAGCCTTGAAGTGGTTTTGCCTTTCTTTTGTTCAAAACAATTTCATAAGTGTATATTATACATTTCTAGATTATTGATTTGGGGGAGTGGTGTGCGGAGACAGAGAAAGCAGGAAGAAAATAAGAGATTCCACTGATCCCTACTACTTGGTAAAATCTCTCCATTAATATGAATATTTCCTGCTGTTTATAAAACAGCTTGTTTCATATTTTGAATCATTTAGGGACAGAATCTCCAGTTTTAGTGTTTTACTACCTGGAAATCATTGGTCACGAGTGGACTAACAGTGGGAAGGTGTTGTGCGCAGTCAGCTATCGTGTGAGGTTGGGGAGCGTATTTGCACAAACCAGGTGGGATAGCACCTAGGATCTAGGGACACCTTAGGGGAATATATGCTCTGACATTGCCCCGAATGTTATGTGGCACATGACTGAACTCCCTCAGCAGCACAAACAGCACAGACAGTGCGTTTCTAGGAGCTGGACTTATGGAAGTTGGAAGGAAGGGACGAGGCACTGTGCTGGGGCCTGAGAGTGCGCTCACCTTACCCTCAGGGGCAGGTGTCTCCTGTCCCTACCTAGCACCCAACTGAGGGAACAGCATCCGCTCTTCATGATTTAGGAATGGTTTTTTGAAGTTGTATGGTGGTGTAGACAGAAGAGTGTCCCAGAGATGTCCACATTCTTATCTTGGGAATTGGTTTCCTTCCAGGGCAAAAGGGACTTGGCAGAGGTGGCTAAGGACCTGGAGAGGCAAAGTTGATCCTGAGCTATTCAGTGAGCCCAATATAGTCACAAATGACCTATAAAGAGAGAACGTGAGGATGCAGGCAGGGGCGTGAGCAATTGCTGGGGGGCAGAATGAGCCACGGGATGTGGGCAGCCTGAGCATCTGGAAAAGGCAGGGAAATGGACTCCCGAGAGCCTTTCTAGGGCAGCCCCAGTGGCCTCTTGCTTTAGTCCAGTAAAACCCATATCAGACCTCCTGAGCTTTACAGGGCCATCGTCTGCCAAACCATACAGCTCAGCAGCACGATGGGAAGAAGTGGTTTTGGAGTTCAGGTGAGAACTTTCTCAATGTGCCCTGCATCAGGAGGTGG